TGGGAGGGAGGGGAGGGTGGGTGATGGGTATTGAGGAGGGCACCTGTGGGGATGAGCACTGGGTGTTGTATGGAAACCGATGTGACAATAAATTTCATACATTGAAAAAAAAAGATATTTTCATACAGTGAGTGGGCCTGCATTTGTTTAAAAGAAACAAAAGTTCTGGTCAGCAGAACAGATTGTGAAAAAGTGAAGAAGGCAGCTCAAGCGATTCTCTTTGTGCTAAGAGGTCTGCCTAGGGGAGGAGGCCGGAGAGTTGGTGCCAGCGAGAGCCCCGGCCCCTTGTTTCTTCTGGGGCCGGGTCTGAACCATTTCCTTAATTGGTTCAGTCAGGGGGCAAACAGAAGTCGAATGCTGGAGGCAGAATCAGGGATGAATCCAGCTTCTCAGGCAGAGGGAGACCAGTCCCAGAGGGAGACAGGGGTGGATATGGGGGAAACACAGAGGAGGGGGAAGCAAGGCAGGAGTGGAAGAGGCAGTGGCCTATATTGCTGAAAGGTAGAAGATAACGACGGAGGCGTGGCCGCTGCCACTGGAGGAGCTGGAAGGTTGCCGGAGACCTCAGCCTGGACAGAGCAGAGGAGCTGAAGCCAGAGGGCGGGAGGGGTCACAGAAAAAGGGGAGACCGCTCCCAGGCTGGGGCAGAGGCCCTGTGAGCTTCTCTGAGGCTGTCTGGGGGCAGCACCGAGAGGCCAAAAGTGATGGCAAGAATCCACTGTCCTGTCTTTCCCCAAGACAGGGAAGGGGACCAGGGAGCTTCCACAGGAACTGCTTCTAACCAACAAGACCGTGGGGTTTGGGCTGGCCCGCTCCTAACACCAGAGCAGGAGGCCCCCCAGACTGTTCTGCTTCTCTTCCCACGCACAGCGCCTTCCTGCACCACCGGGGGCCTTGCGTGCGCGTGGATACCTGGGCAAACCAGCCACTTGCCCAAGCTCGGTCCACTTCCACTTCCCACCAAACCTGCTCCTCAGGGCACACACCAGTCAGCAGCGGGAGGAAGGCTTTGAAAAAGAAGCCTGCGGTGGCGCCTGGGTGGCTCAGTTGGTTACGTGTCCAACTCTTGATCTCAGCTCAGGTCTTGGTCTCAGGGTGGTGAGTTCAAGCCCTGCCACTGGGCTCTGCACTGGGCGTGAA